CTGTAATTGATGATATTGAAAACATTATTTCCCCCTCTATTTTCATGAGTTTTTGAATAAAGTTTGGGTAGGCTTCATGAATATCAAATCCAGGTATGTTTTGAATTGAAGGTTCTAGCAACCTTTTTTTTTTTCTCTTTCAATTCTCAGTATCTAGCACACTGCCTACTTCAGAGTCATTGCTGAAATGAAGCAGGAGTTTTGAATATAGGTACTGCAACTTCAAATCCTTCTTTGGCTACAATGTTAATTTTGTAAGGAGTCAAAAACATTTTTTCAAGGTTGACATCCTATTATCCTACAAGAATCCTCAATTATATTTTGACTTCTAAAGCTTCAAAGAATATTATGAAAAACCTTATAGAAAAATGTCCCTTTAATTTAATATTTATTGTGTACCTAATATAGGCTGGGCCTTACCTTGGCTTGAATAAGATACACTCCACAATCTCCATACTCAAGAAAGACCGTGTTTAGGGACGCCTGGGTGGCTCAGTCAGTTAAGTGTCTGCCTTCGGCTCAGGTCATGATCCCAGGGTCCTGGGATCAAGCCCCACATCGGGCTCCCAGCTCAGCGGGGAACCTGCTTCTCCTTCTCCCTCTGCCTGCTGCTCATCCTGCTTGTGTGCTCTCTCTCGCTCTATCTCTGGCAAATAAATAAATAAAATCTTAAAAAAAAAAAGAAAGAAAGACTGTGTTTGCCATATCAAGGAACTTCGACATTATTCAGCTGACCACAGCTACTTACTTTGAAAAGAAATCCACTTGAAAAACATACAAATCCCTCCTAAATAATTGAGATTATAGTATCTTATATCTCCCTCCTTCTGTGGGAATTATTTATATAGACAAGGGGGATCCTTTAAAATGTCTTGCGGAGGACAGAGGCATTCTAAAAACAATGGGAGATGGATCAGATGATAGACTTGAAAGGTAGATTTCAGGAGTGGCGCTGTGAATGGGGAGGTAGATAGAGCTGAAGAATTTGAGGGGTGATAGGATCAAAGGAATTCTATAAGTCAGGGCTTTAACTAACTTATTTACTGATATTTTAGTGAGAAGAAGGAAGCTTTAAAAATAATTACCCCTTAGGGTTTCATGGACATAATCAGTCGACTTTAGATCTGATAATATATGTGATTTAACTTTACAAATATGGAGCCTATTTATAGCCCCTTTAGAGAATGATATTTATAAATGTATTACATAAAGGGGAAGGGGTTACTGCCTCATGAACTGAAATAATGAATTTATAGCTGTCTTTGAGACTTTGACAAAAGATGCCCACTTACTCCTTCACTTTAGATTCAGTGTCATACTCATGTGTAGATTTTTTAAATTAATTAATTAATTAATTAATTAATAGCAGGAGAGGGAGGGGCACAGAGAGAGGGAGAGAGAATCTCAAGCAGACTCCCCTGCTGAGTGTGGAGCCCTATGCAGGGCTCAATCTCATGACCCTGAGTTCATGACCTGAGCTGAAATCAAGAGTTGGATGCTTAACCAGCTGAGTCACCCATGCGCCCTGATGTATAGCTTTATACTCTCTGAAATAGTCTAATATCTGTTGGTTCCAATTTTACACAGATAATATTAGTTTTCATGACCCTGACTGTGACCTTTTCCTAAATTTCTTCTGCTCTTTAATTCTTTACCTTCATTGTAATTTGCATTTTTGATTTTATAACTTGGTTGGTTAGAGTAATACTTCTCAATTTCTTTTACATCATGACATACCTAAAAAATGGTATATGTATACAGTACATGAAAGGCAACAGATAAGGCTGCTTGCTTTAGGAGACCACAAGCCAGATGCTCTAGCCTACCGTACCTTATCAGACCACTCGACACTGGAGGGAATTGCTATCTGCCCACAACCCCATAGCCCATTCACACTGGTTGGAATGCTCTGGGTTATGGAATAGAACTTAAAGTGCTCATGACTATGGGATGCACACCTGCATTGTTCAGCGAGTATTGTGATAGCATTTGACATATCATATAGTACCAATGCCACCTGGCTCAAGGAACAATTGCTAGCGGTCACGTAGGGATCTTGCAACATGGTATACAAAACTCAGGACAACTTACAATCATTACAGAGAACATGACTGAAAGCACATATTTTATTGATGAATGTTCAGGAGCATTTGGTAGGATATTGTAAATACCCAATTCTTTTATTTCATAATGAGAATACTTGAGACTAAAGAAATTATGTGTCTTGACTAAAGGTTAAATGACTGGACTGTAAGCTCTATGAAGTGAGGGATATTTTGTTAACTGCTATACTCTGTTGCATAGTAGAGTTCATAGCAGATGGCAGAAGTTTTCTAAAATGTTGAGTGAATGAATGAACGAATTGGCCAGGGTCACACGGGTAATGACAGCCAAAATGAGACTTACAATCTTCCATCTCCCAGTTCAGTGATTTGATCCAGTGTGTCTAAGACTGTATGTCACATTGTTATCAATGCTTTATGAATAATTCATTATGTGGCACAAAGCACAAAAGGTCAGACACACATTCTAGAATTGAATATTTTAAGGATTACCTTCTGTTTTGTAACAGTTCCTATCCATCACATTCATAAATCAAACATGAAATATTTGGGTTGCCATAAAGCTTATATTTATCTTAATATATTTCTGTAAATAGAGTTAAAAACAACAAAGTAGGTCTTAGAAGAGCTTTCACAAATTTTTTTCTTTTTTGGTAGTACAATATTTTGCCACTTTCTTCAGTAATAGAACATATTTAGGTTTGTCTTTATTTCCCACTAACTAAATAATGAAAGGCAAAGCTTTAAATAAGTAATTATTGATGTATCCTATATGCATTAAACTCAGAGTGAGCACAGTCACTGAAAGGTTATGTCACTCATGAATTCATTAAACATTCATTAGCCTCACCTCAGGTATAGGTGTCCTTGTTTACATATTTTAGATTTGCATACACATGCCCTGAACAAGATTTTAAAAATGTTTATGACCCTATGACCACCTTAATTATGAATCCCCAGGTAGATATTTGTGAAATCCTTACCCAGTGTGGCTTTCCCCCCTCTACCAGGTTTTTAAGCAGTTCAGTATACAAGGTGACACTAAGATAAGACAAGTGAAGTTTCAGTATGGGTGCCTCCATCTTCCTCCTGTGATTCTTGATCTCATGGCTGCCAAAGCCAGAAGAGACCTGGGGTAAAATGCTTGGTCATGGGGAAGGCTGTTATGGTTGGCCTGGCAGTTGGGGAAAGAAGGCTTCAAGTTTTCACAATGAATGACATTCTCATTCTCTAATGTATGGTCTTAACCCACTGTTTGAGAATTGTGTTTCACAGAGAGACCCCCGCCCCCCAGACCGAAAGATATTTAATTCTTTGATAAGGTTTTTGTGAATATTCGTGTAGAAATCCTCCATGTGATCCTGGGATAAGGCTGCACCACTGGAGGTATGTAATCTGTCACCTGGCCTTTGGGCTTGGTGAAATCTTCACTAGTTTTGTTAGTACCAATAGGTCACCAAAATTCCAGCAGTGATAGGCAGAGATGGATGCACAGGGAGGAACCTTATAGATGATATCCAATTCTTCAGTGGAGATCTGATCAATCTTATTTAACACATAGACACAAAGGATATAGATTCTGTTTCCTTCCACCATGTCAATGAGGTCATCTACTGTGGCATCACTATGCAGAGCCACGCCGGCATTACTAATTTTATATTCAGCTGGAATGCTCTTCACAATTTCAGCCTCCAGCTCACTTTGACGGCAAGTGACAGTGAGATTGATGACTCCCTTATCCTTCTTCTTAAAGCCAATGTTAGGGGGTTTGCTGTTCAAGTGAATGCTAAAGACTTTCAGCTTGTTTTCAATGATCTTCTCATGTCCCAATGGTTTCAGGACATCCAGAACAATCAGGATCAAGTTACACACTCAGGCCACTGCAATGACTTCCTTTACTTTTTCCATTCTTGGCACCTTCATTGATAACTGGGAGATCCAGAAGCTGAGTCTTGGCACCTTTGTATCTGATTACACCAGGAACTCTGGTGAGAGTAGTGAACTCAGGCTGTCATGTTGAAATACACCACTGCCAGGTTACTGAGCAGTGTTGACTTCTCTAAAGATGGAAAATCCACAAACCCAGTATTTGAACATCACCTGCTTGGCCACATCAAAATCTCCTAGCCCACTACCACCACCTTCTGGAGTAATGAGTTCTCTGCAAAGCTTAGAAAGGCAAGCCTTAATCAGGCTTATGTGGTGTGCAGTGGCCTTGTTTTTCTTGAGTCTGAGCCATCTCAGCTTCAATCTCTGTGATCTTGGTTAAAGTGCCACTCCTGGTGGCGAATCCCAGGGGGTGCAGTGGTCTCTATACCGTTTCCTGTCACACACCTGATGCAGATTAGCCAGTTCCATCAGGTGCTAATGCAATGCACAGACGAGGTACTTTCTCCTTCTAGTGAGAGTTCCACCTGTGACGCTCACGGAGACACATGGTGTGGAGCATTCTCCTCCCCCCTCCCCCCAGCCAACTCCCCATTTTTTTTTTATTGTTTTTTGTTTTTTTGTCATTTCTTTATTGGGGAAGGGGATGCATCATTCACTATGGAGCTTGGTGCTGGCCCCTATGTGCACACAGATTTGTATTGCTGAACTCTGCACACTGAATAAAACAAAGCAGAAAGATGAGTTTATTACAAGGGTTTTGACCTGCAAACTGGGAAACTCAGGCTATGGGAGCTGTGAGTTCCCAGTTGCTCACAGACTAAAGGGGTTTAAAAAAAAAATGTATTTATTTGAGAGAGCGAGAGAGCACGTGAGTGGGGGGAGGGGTAGAGAAAGAGAGAGAGACTCCTGGAGGAGCAGGGAGGCAGTGTGGGCTCCATCCCAGGACCCTGAGGTCATGAGCTGAGGCAAAATCAAAAATTGGTCGCTTAACTGACTGAGCCACCCAGGCGCCCCCAGACTAATGGGTTTTAATAAGGCAAATGCAGAATATATTTGACTTTTTCAGCTGACTGCCTAGTGGTCTTCTTCCTTATTTGGATCAGGGTAGCCCAATCAGTGGAACAAGGAAGTCCCAAGATGACAAAACAGACTTGGTGTTTGGGGATTGGCTGGCGTCCTTCGCTGATTTTTGAGAAGATCTGTAAATTTCTGTAACTTAGGTAAGTTTGTTTTGTTTTTCTTTAATGGGACTGTACTGGCCAACTTCATCTTGTCCTTAATATATGTGACTCCACTTTTGTTTTAGTTCTACAGTATACACACGTGTGTATACACATCTGCAGGAGGCCGGAGCTCTGACGGGTTGAGGAGCTCTAGCTCTTTTGTAAATGAGGGTATTGGAAAGAGGCTGATTCTAACAGATGGGTGGCTGTACCCCTACCCTGATGGGAAGCCAGCTCTGTCTGCATGACTGGATAAAGCACTGGGGGTTGGGTGGGAGTGGGGGTAACTAGATGGTGAGAGGAGCTCAGGTGGACGTAGCCTCCATCCCTCCCACCCCCTCGTGGAATGGGTGGCCAGGTCTAGCCCTGCCCCTGACGTAGGTCACTGGGCTCTGTGGGGACTGGGCCTGAAGACTCCAAGGGCTCCATGGGAGCTCTTCACCATGCCGTACTTGTCAGAGTCCATGACTCTTCATCTTTCATAATTTATATTAATCAAATGTTTGGGGGAGAGAAATGAGAAATTGAATCATTTATTATAAATAATTAATAGCAACTTGGCAGAGTGATGTGAATTATACTGCTGTCCCTTTCACTCTTTCTCCTATAGGCTGTAGTGTATAGAAAGCAGACACTAAAGTGGTGATTTAGCAACTGCCACATTATGTGATTTGAGATATGTTGGAAAAAGGAAAGGTTACAGAATTTAAAGTAGGGAAACACTAACAATTTGGGTTTTTTAAAGAAGTTTTTATTCTAAAAATTGTGGGGTTTTAAATTTGTAGTTAATACTAGAGAAGAGTTTGAATTTTGTTATGAAAGGGACAGTTTATTCACATAGACAAAAGGGTGTATTGATTAGTAGGAGTTACTATGTGGTGATTTAGAATAAATTTTGCCAAAAAAACCCCCTTAATTTCAGGATTTGGAAGGGTTTGGCTGAAGGGTTACCAGAAACAATGTAACGTGTTCTTAACTAATCACTTAACAGTTTTTTAAGACATGCTTGAGGGCAAAATAGAGACATGCAGACAAGATGATTCTAAAGATGAGCAAACTTTTAGTTGTTACAAAAATGTAACTGAAGATTCCTACATAGCAGTTGCACAAATAATTGACACAATTCTGTTTGAAATTTAGTAATGGCTTAGAACACAGAGGCATACTTATAAAACTAATTAACATTCATCTAGCAGTGCTAAATTAATAGCTAATGTAATCTGGAGTAGAATCAGAATTCAGAAATATCTCTAAGAGTTGGAAATAATGGGCTCAGTTTGATAAGAAAGTATATCAAATGTCTAGAATAGACAAATTCATAGAGACAGAAAGTAGATTAATTGTTACTAGGGCCTGGGGGAAGTGGGCAATGGAGGGTGATTACTAATGAATAGTTTCTATTGGAGTGATGACATGTTCTGGAATTAGTTAAGGGTAATGGTTGCATAATTTTGTGAATATTCTAAAACGTACTAAATGTACACCTTAAAAGGGTGAATTTTATGGTAAGTGAATTATATCTCAATAAAAAGTTTAAAAAGACATTTATGGCTAATAAACTAGGAATAGAACAAAAACTTATGAAAAACAGAAGGAAACTGAACACAGTAAAGAGTTTTTATCTTGCACAGGTAACCAGGTAAGACTAGTTGCATTCAAAGTAACTTATGACTGAAAAAATGATAAAAATAAAAGTAGTTATTATCTCCATTATTGTTTGGCATTGTTTTAGATATTCTAACCAGGACATATGTTTTAAATATTCTAACATGATATATATCATATTTAAATACTGGAAAAGAGAAGGCAATGCTATATTTAGTGCAGATGATTTGATTATCTGCGAAGAACACACAAAGGATTTAAAATGAAAACATTTATTTTTATTTTATTTTATTTAAGCATAGTTGACACACAATGTTACATTAGTTTCAGGTGTACAACATAGTGATTTGACAAGTCTGTACATTATGCTATGCTCACCAGAAGTGTAGCTACCATTTGTCACCTTGCAACACTATTACAATACCGTTGACTATATCCCTTATGTTGCAGCTTTCATCCCCAACACTTATTCGTTCAAAATGAAAACATTTAAATTTGAAATTGAAAGAATTCAAAAAGGTGGACGGATAGAAAAAGAATTGTTTTTAAAAAAAATCAACAACTTTCCTATATGTTATAAACAAACCAGCATAACAGAATATCAAATGGAAAAGAGAGCTCATTCACAATAACTGTCTAATAATAAAATACTCAGGAGTTAAATTCATAAGATATGTGCAAAGATGAAACCCTTATATGGGTCTCAGAGATGGATAATTGTAGGAAATTGATTGAAAACAATTTCAATCAGAAGTTGTTACAGAATTTTTGGTACAGAATTGGTACAGAATTTTTCTAGGTAGAGAAAATATTTTTTAGGTAGAGAATCCAAAACTTCTATCTGATTTATAAATGGCTTTAAGAAACAAGAAAGTTTACATAACCCTGTCCAGTAAGCAGCAGTGTCTATAATAGTTTAATAAGAATACATTGAGAAAGAGGTAGAAGAATAGGTTGATAGATAAACAAGTGGCAATAGACAGATAAATGGAGGCATATAGAAAATCAAAAACTCAGGAACTAGTATATTTAAGTATTTGGTTTGTGATAAAGGTGACATCTCAAATAGTAGAAAAAATGAATTATTAAATGATTTCCAAGAAAATTATTTAGAAAAAAAATAAATGTATTTTCTATTTCTTCTATACACCAAATTTCAGATTTATTTAAGAGTTTCTATAAAAATTAAATCTTAAAAAAGTATTGGAAGAAAATATAGGTTAATTTTTATGTAATGTATGTCTTGAAGAAGGCCTCCAGCCATTATTAAGAAATGAATATTCTTTTGAATACAGGAAAATACAGGAAATTTACATAGGGTATAAAAGGCAAAAAAAAAAAACAAGTTGGAAAAGCACTGCAATATATATGACAAGGTTTAATGTCCTCAATACAGAATATTCTCTAAAACATTTCAAAGAGAGAGATCAAAAGAAAAATGATCAAAGGCCAAGAAAAAGCAATTTCTAAGAATACAAATAACCAGTAGACATATAAAATGTTCAAATGTACTAGTAATTGAAGAAATTTGAATTTAAATAACAATAATATATTGGCTAATACTAAGAAGTCTGATAATACCCAGTTTTTAAGCTGGAGTTAGGAACAGACTTTTCCATTCATAGACTGGTGTTCAGGGTCTAAATTGCCATCATGTTTCTGAATGACAATTTGCTAGTATCTATCAAAAGCCTTAGAAATGTGGGTACACTTTGACCCAGTAATCACTGTTCTCAGAATATACCCTAGGGAAATCATTATGTAAATGCCCACAAATGAATATTTGAGAAATATTTCTGCAGGATTTTTTATAATGGGGGAAATTTTAAACAGTATCAAGTAGGTTAAATGAATTATGGCCATAGTAATTTCCCCAAATCATCATAAAAATATTTCCAGTCCCACATGCTTTTCCTTAACCTTGTCCCTCCCCTGTTTGCAGTTGGAGTCCTCCCCCTGGACCTGGGAGGACTTTGTGGCTTTCTCATTGAATAGAATATGCTGAAAGTGATGTTTAAAGGCAATATGACTTTCCATCTGGTTCTGTCTCTTAGAATTTTTCTCCCTCAAAACCCTGTTTGTTGTGTTTCCATGTTGTGAGGAATCCCAGACTACATGGCAAGGTCACCTGTAGGGGTTCTAATAGAAAGTCAGAATCTAGTATTCATGTAAGTGATTGAGATTTCAGATAAAACCAGCCTCCAGCCTTTGAGCCACTACAGCTGATTCTAAGTAGAGCAGAGACAAGTCTGTTGAGTTCTTCCAAACCATAGATTTGAGAGCAAAAGAAAGACTGTTGTTTTAAGTCACTACATTTTGAAGTGGTTTCTTACATGGCCATAGTACCTTGAACATTGTTGTTATATCTAAAACCGGAATATTATGAAGCCATTTCACACAAAAATATAGATGAATAAATATGTATCTTAAAAATTTAAAGACATTTACAAAGTTACAGCTTGGAAAATGTTCATAAGATCATAGAATATATATAATTACATATTGTATGTGTGCACAAAAAATGCACATAAATATCCAACAGCCAGCATATGTATGCATAGAAAAAGAGGTTGACAAAATATTTACCAAAATGGAAATGCTGGTTATCTTCAAATGTTTGGAATAAAGGGATGATTTATACTTAATTTTTATTCTTGCTCATTTTGCTTACTTGCTGTATTTTCTAATTTTTCTTAAAGTGGACATTGATCATTTGTTCAATAAGGATGAAACAAATTTGGACTTAAATTAATCAACTGATGAAATACAAAATATGGATGAACCTGGCTCAGTAGTTGTTCTTAGAAAAAGACAGGAGTTTTAGTTGATTACAAGTTCAGCCAAAAGTGCTCTGTAACTGCCTAAGTGTTAATGCAAAATTAGGTAGCAATTACAAAATTCAAGAGTCCAAAGCACTGGAGGCCATAGTCCTATTATATGACACACTGAACAGATTAGACTTTGAGGTATCAACAGTTTAAGAAGAACTGCAACTGCATTTCTTCCAGAAGGGAAGATGGTGATGGTGGTAAGGTCTGAAAGAGGGTTATGAGGCATAGTAGAAACATCAGGGAATCCTGTCGTGTTAGGAAAGAAAAAAAAGACTAACAGATACAGGTATGGAGAAGTAGGGTTAGACTTCATCTGGATAATTTTAGAAAGCAAGAATTAAACAATAAATGAAAACCTCAAAGAGATAGATTCAGCTCAGTTGAAGACGATACTTTCAGTTAAATTGAGATATTAAAAAATTAACCAAAGAACGTAGTGAATCCTCCTCTCCTCCAGGTTCCTGGATGTCAGGATGTTTAGATGAGAACTCTATACTTCATGAGGGGGTCTTCTGGGGTATCATTTAAAGTCCTGTTCCTGCTCAAATCTACAAGAGTCTC